AACCTATTTGAACATTTAACCTGTAATCGACCATTTTATAAATATAATTGATTCTATTGTTTTTGGTGACTGGAATGTCACTGCCTCCGGTGATTAATTCAATAGACCGTGATTTTCCAAACTCTGATATTAGAAAAAAAAAAAAAATTAGTAATAATTAACCTAAAGCGAAAGACAGATTATGATAATCACCATTGTCTACTACAGTAAAATTCAATGATAAATCAGACTCTACATCTCCTTTATAATTTTTCAAATAAACCAAACCCTGATACAATTCCGGATCAACAGATGGTAAATCATCCACTATCAAATATCAAATAAGATCAAAATAAGTTCACAAGATTTTATATTAAACAAATAATTAAACATACATACAATATGACCGTTCTCCCAACCATTTGTTCAGGAAAAAACCAGCGAAAGCCGCGTCAACTAGAATTCCTTCGTATAAAGCTTTACCCAATATACGACCAAGAAACTCATAGTAACGTAATTGCGTTTCTAAAACAAAATACAAAATAATTATTTATATTAAAAAATAAAGGTATGTATCATTCAATGTTAATAAAGTTCGTTAATTACCATGACGCGCATAACTATGTGGATTTGGATACAAAAGTTGTTCATTTGTGCTAAGGAACAACCCATACTCTGTATTAAAAGCTATTCGTGTCAATCTAGTAAGGGATTATTAAATCCTATCAGTAAAAGTCAAAATTAAAAATGTTCGACTGTTACGTGACTCTTAATATCCGCTTACGAGGTCAAAAATTCCTTGAATAAACCACCACCATCTATTCCAGGTTCCGGCATTCCAAATTCGTCAATGAATTGAATAGCAACAGGATTTTTCAATCTGAAACCCATGACGTTAAGTTGGTTGAATCCATCTTCGAATATATTATTTCGATGAATGGTCACACGCGTTCGAGGTTCAAATATGGCATGATTATGACTTGTAAATTAATTAAATTATAAAGAGTCAATTATAACAAATCGTGGTGATGTTTTACAATCTAGACAAATTAATCATAAAAGAATATTGATAATTAATTACCGATCACGATCATTACGAACAAAATGTCTAAAAATTTTGACACGTTCATCAAAAGGTATCACAAAAGGAATATTGTGAAGGACTCCAAGGCGCGGACTAACGGATTCCTGTCGCTTGTCCATACTTACTTTATCATTTTCTCTTTCAAGATCCTGCTCGTCGGCGACAACATTTTTGGCGAAAGTGCTCATATCAAATTCAGATGTCATTAGCCAGTGACGTTCTGGCGTGAACCGCCGGCGAGAACTAAATCCATAGAAAATATTGTTATCAAATTAAAAAAAAAAAAAAAAAAAAAACATTGAGAAGTAACGTACTCTCTTGCATGGATCTGTTTTAACAACTTGGTGGCAACTTCTCGAATATAAATAGGTTTAATGCAACTACCTTCGATAACGTTGTTTATTTTTAATTGGGGACTGTTCCAATATAAAATAAAAGCTATATTCTATAAATGAAATATGAAAATTTTGGTTTAATATTAAAATAACTAGTAAATTTTTTTATAAAATACTCATTTACCTTCAAATAGGTAGACATTTCAATAACCTCTTGTAATTTTAGAGGATTTTTGCTTCCATCAAAGAATTCGTAATCGTCCATAGGAAGTAAAATTCGACTAAATAACTCGCAAAGCAAGTAAAACATTCCCCACTGTTCAACAAATGCGGGATCTAATTAAACAAAATTTTGAGTTAATATATTTTAAACTTTTCAAATTACATAGAACGAGATAGATAATCATTTTATACCTGAAATGAAACTATTTGATAAAGGTTGACTATTTGACAACAGTCGCGCAAGATCTGTACTTTTGAACACTTCCCATAATAAATTAATTGATAATTTGCTCTCTGATATGGAGAGCTTCCCGTACGCCATTTTACTTAACAAGCCAGATTTCTCTGAAGACCAGCGAATCATCAAAGTAGTTAAAAAGTATGAAATTTTGAGTAAAACCTTTATATTTCCAGGTTTTGCAAACGCCAATATAGATTCTAAATGTTGTTCGTTGATTAATACGGAAATCCATTTTAAAATGCCCGAATCAATTTGTGGTTCTTCAAACAATCTCAGACGATCTTGAATTATTATATCATTATTGTCGACATCATCTTCATCATCATCGTCAGGATTTGCTGGTGTTCAAAAAAAAAAAAGTATAACGACCATTAATAAATATCACACAAATATTTTAAATTATATAAAATAAAATCTAGATACTTGATGGCGTCTTGTCTGCAAGTAGTTGGTCTGGTATTCGCAAAAATAGACGTTGAAGAACCGTCAAGTAGTCAGGCTATAAAAATATAATCAAATTTATTAAAATAAATAAATAATAATACACTTTTCCTTGCAAAGAGTATTAGATAAGGTTTTTGAGGTATTTATTTTATTACTATACTGAATTTTTATACTTTCTGTAAGGTAACGTAACTAAGGAAAATCATAGATATATCATATTACATACCAATACCGAATCGTTCATTTTATTAACCTCGAGACGCGTAAAGGCCAACAAATTACTCAACAAGATACTTCCTTGTTCAGCATTCCAATCATTGCGGGCTATTGCCGGTATGATATCATACAATGGCATTCGTGAAGAAAGAATTTCCAAAGTCTCAATGCGGTCCGCTAATAGCGGTATTGTAAAAATATATTTGATGAAATCTTTAAGAGACGATTTGTATGCAAGAGCATAATGAGGATCAGAAGCAGGTATGATTTGGAATGGGTAAAGAGAGAGATTTATGATCAGTATGATCATCTGTTTATTTTTATCTTTGTTTTCGATTGCCTATTTTTTTTTTCCCAAGAAGTTAGTAAGCAACAAC